AACACTGCCCGATCGTGGGCCAACCTCACTACTGTTGCCACGCTTGAGTCCATCGATGCTGCAAAGGCATTAGAATGTGTGGATCATGACAAGCTATGGACAACATTACGAAGTATGAGTATTCCAGAACACTTAACTTTGCTCATGAGGAACCTGTACACAGGCCAAGAGGCAGTTGTTCAAACAGAACAAGGGAACACTGAATGATTTAAAATCAGTAAAGGTGTGTGTCAGGGTTGTATTCTTTCATCATACTTAATTCAACCTGAATGCTGAGCAAATAATTTAAGAAGGTGGATTATATGAAAAAGAATGTGGCATCAGGGTTGGAGGAAGACTCATTAACAACCTGCAATATGCAGATGATACAACCTTGCTTGCTGAAAGTGAAAAGGACTTAAAATACCTACTGATGAAGATCAAAGGCCAGAGCTTTCAGTATGGGTTGGACTTCAGTGTAAAGAAAACAAAAATTCTCACCATTGGACCAATGGAGAAAAGACCAAAGTTGTCAAGGACTCCATTTTGCTTGGAACCACTATCAACTCTCATCATGGAAGCAGCAGTCAAGAAATCCAACGCCGTATTACCTTGGGCAAATTTGCTGCACAAGACCTCTTTGAAGTGTTGAAGAGCAAAGATGCCAGTTTAAGAACTAAGGTGCCCCTGATCCAAGCCATGGTATTTTCAAAAACCTCATAATGTATTTGGTAAGTTGGACAATGCATAAGGAAGACCATAGAAGAATTGATGCATTTGAGATAAGGTGTTTGAAAAACTTATTAGGCTAAGCACTGGAATGCTAACCGCAAGGTTGGTGGTTCAAATCCACCAGCCCTTCCTCAGAAACCCTTTACATGGTCACTGAGTCTGAACTGGCTTCACAGCACTTACTGACAAGAACCATGGACTGTCAGTAGAACAAATAAATCTGTGTTGGAAGAGTAACAGCAAGAAACCTCCTTAGAAGCCAGGAGGGCGAGACTTCATCTCTCATCCTTCTGACACGTCCTTGGGAAAGTGGAGGGTCAGTGAGAAAGAGGAAGTCCCCCCAACGAGATGGACTGGCACAGTGGCCGCAGCAATGGGCTCAGGTGTAGCAGAGACTGAAAGGATGCATTGTTTTCTTCTGTTGTGTGTAGGTTGGAACCCATTCAACAGCACCTAACAACAACAAGTGACGTTTGCTGCAAGTATATCCATGAATGTGGTGCAACATTTGTTGTTATTGGGTGCCACATTGAGTCAGTACCAACCCATAGTGACCCCTACGCACAGTAGAATGAAACACTGCCCGAGGTTGCCTGGGCCAACCTCACTACTGTTGCCACGCTTGAGTCCATCGATGCTGCCACTTGGCCAATCCATCTCATCGGGGGTCGTCCTCTTTTTCTCTGACCCTCCACCTTACCAGACATGATACCCTTCTCCAGTGACTGGCTCCTCCTGACAATATGTCTGAAGTATGAGACGAAGTTTGTCCATCTTGGCCTCCAAGGAGCACTCTGGTTGCACTTCTTCCAACACAGATCTGTCGGTTCTTTTGGCAGCCCATGGCACTTTCAATATTCTCCTCCAACACCATAACTCAAAGGCATCAATTCTTCTATGATCTTCCTTATTCACTGTCCAGCTTTCGCATGCACATGAGGTTATAGAAAATACCATGGCTTGGATCAGGCGCACCTTAGTCCTCAGGTGGTACATTGTGGTTGTCATGTGCCATCGAGTCGGAACCGACTCATAGCGACCCCATGCACAGCAGAACGAAACAATGTTCGATCCTGGGCCAACCTCACTACCGCTGCCACACTTGAGTCCATCAATGATGCCACCTGGCTGATCCATCTCGTTGGGGGTCTTCCTCTTTTTCTCTGACCCTCCACCCTACCCAGCATGACATCCTTCTCCAGTGACTGTTTCCTCCGGACAATATGTCCAAAGTAGGAGAGACGAAGCCTAGCCATCCTGGCGTCCAAGGAGCACTCTGGCTGCACTTCTTCCAAAACAGATCTATTGGTTCTCTTGGCAGTCCATGGCACTTTCAGTATTCTCCTCTAACACCACAACTCAAAGGCATCAATTCTTCTACGATCCTCCTTATTCACTGTCCAGCTTTCGCATCCATATGAGGCTATTGAAAACACAATGGCCTGGGTCAGGCACATCCTAGTCCTCAAGCTGACATCTCTGCTCTTCAACACTTTAAAAAGTTCCTGTGAAGCAGATTTGCCCAGTACAATACGTCGTCTGATCTCTTGACTGTTGCTTCCCTGAGTGTTGATAGTTGATCCAAGAAGAATGAAAGCCTTGACAACTTCAATCTTTTCTCCATTGATAAGAATGTTGTTTATTGGTCCAGGGGTGAGGATTTTTGTTTTCTTGACATTGAGATGTAATCCATATCGAAGGCTGTGCTCTTTAATCTTCATAAGTAAATGTTTCAAGTCCTCTTCACTTTCAGCAATCAAGGTTGTATCATCTGCATATCGCAGGTTGTTAATGAGTCTTCCTCCAATCCTGATGCCACGTTTTTCTTCATAGAACCCAGCTTCTCGTATTATTTGCTCAGCATACAGGTTGAATAAGTATGGTGAAAGAATACAACCCTGTCTCACACCTTTCCCAATTTTAAAACATTCAGTGTTCCCATGTTCTGTTCGAACAACTGCTTCTTGGTCTAGGTACAGATTTCTTAGAAGTACAATTAAGTGTTCTGGAATACTCATACTTCTCAATGTTGTCCATAGCTTGTCATGATCCACACAATCGAAAGCCTTTGTGTAGTCAATAAAGCACAGGTAAACATCCTTCTGATATTCTCTGCTTTCAGCCAAGATCCATCGGACATCAGCAATGATATCTCGTTCCACGGCCTCTTCTGAATCCAGCTTGAACCTCTGGAAGTTCTCTGTCAATGTATGATTGTAGCCGTTTCTGTATTACGTTTAGCAAAACTTTGCTCGCTTGAGATATCAAAGAGATTGTCCGATGATTTCCGCATTCCGTTGGGTCACCTCTCTTTGAAATGGGCACAAACATTGATCTCTTCCAATCAGTCGGCCAGACAGCTGTCTTCCAAATTTCTTGGCACAGGTGGAACATACCGGGGATAAAATCATGAACACTTCTTAAACAATCAAACACTTTGAGGAAAAGAGCCACTGGGCTGGGGGCTCAGGACCATGGTCTTGTGGGATACCAAGGTCTACTGGCAGAACATTGTCCACAAAGACAGTTTCTATATCCTTCTTTGTGAGAAGTGGCTCAGGTGGCGGGCATGAGCAGCCATCTAAAGTGCAAATATTGGTCTCTCCCTGTGTAGAGGAAAGTAGTGTGAAGAAAGTTGAAAAACCAAACAAAAATGCATGGACATCATTAGTCCAGTGGACTAATGGGTCATTCAGATATCAGTCTCCACAACCTTGAGCTCAGAACTAGATGGTGCCTGGCAACCACTATCCTCTACTCTGAAAGGGATCATTTTAGAAGGTCCTAGATAGAGGAGGGAAAAAACGTGGAGTGAAATTCAAAATCATTAAAAAAGACCAGGTTACTGGTCAGCTAGAGACTGCTGAAATTTCTGAGACTATGACCCTTAGGTCAACGTATAGGTTTGGAAATAAATTCACCACCCACCCACCCCCGCTCAATTTTCAACCAAGCAATGGACATGTATACAACAGAGCTACCATAATAGTAGAATAAGCAACCATTCAAAATCACAAGGGCAGCATTTACCCAAGGACAAAGTTCAGAAGGGTTGGGAAAGAAGGAGAAATGGAAACAGGAAACAGGGATGAAGTGGGATGGGAGATGTTCCACGGAGGAGCCTACAGTCAATGAGATGAAACAACATGTGTACAGAATGTTGGATGGAAAACTGATCTGCCTTGTAAACTTGTGTCTAGTTCCATACCAACCGTTATTAAAAACATCAACATGACTCTAGACCCAGAGAGGGAGAGGGGCTGTGTGCTGACGACCGAGGGGCAGGCTTGCATGATGCATGGAGGGGATTGTAACCATGGCAATGAAACGATGTACGATAGGATGAATGGAAAGCTAATGTTCTTCCATGTAAACGATCACATAATTCAGAATGAAAACTTTTAAAAATCAGCATGGGAAGCTACTGTTGCTCAACATATTCTTCATCTAGGTCTACACACTGAGGGCAGTGTTTCCATCCCTTCAACCTTTACCCAGAGACTTCTGTGCCCTCTGATTTACATCACACCGAAATAGCAGTTTGGGCATCAAGTCCAAGAGACTCAAATCAAGGGTCTCAAATCATTTTGAAATGTTCTTTTGAGTTTGGGGGACAAATAAATAAGTCTGAAGGGACAAGAACAGGGCTGTAGGAGGGATGGGTGAGGTTTCCCAACACAATCAAGAGGGGTCCTTCTACCCTTGAAAGTAAGCAGGTGCTTGCTGTGACAGGAAAAAAAAATCATTCGGTGCAACTTCCCTGGACTGTTAGTCACCAATGCAATTCTCAACTTTCTTAAAACTTCCTCCTAATATGTCCCCATGACCACCTTGTATCTTCTGAGAAAATCAAGATGGCCACTTTGGAATCCCCCAAAATAATGTCCACACCCTTCTCTTGGCCTTGAATGTTAACTGGCTTAGCAGATCATCCCAGAGGCCACTGCTGTCACTGAACCTGTTTTTTTGGAAGGTACCTTAACAAGACTAAGACAAGTATATTACTGAGAGAACTTGTTTGGAAGATGGCCCTGCCTGTATGAACTCGAACCTCAGAAGCAGTACTTTTTGACTCACCCTCAGACACAGGTGTTTGACTGACTAACTGACGTTAGCGATGATCCGTACTTACACACAAATTCAACTCCAAGGCTGACTTATAAGCCAAACTCCGTAACCCGGGGACTGGGGGTACGGGCAAGGAAGCTGTCACATGGGGTTGCTATGGGTTGGAATTGACTTCATGGCACCTAACAATGTGTTTCGCTGCCAGGCTGACTGGAGCAGACCTAGATCCCTGGGGCCGGGGGTCCCTGGGGCCTCACCATAGATGTAACCATTGATGCAGCAGCTCTTGAAAGTCATGACGTTCTGGGTGAGCGTGCCCGTCTTATCTGAAAAGATGTGCTCCACCTGGCCCAGCTGGTCGTTGAGGCTGGTGCTACGGGCCTTGGCGGGGATGTCCAGCGGCGCGTAGTACATCTTCATGTCCCAGTTGATGAAGATGCTGTTCCCCAGGTAGATGAACTCGGCACTGTGGGGCACCGCCGGTTACGCCAGCCTCAGGCTCCTGGGTCACCCAGGCCACCCCTGGCCCTGCCCACTGCTCCCTTGGCCCCACTGCCCGGCCTCCAAACCAGCTGCTGTCGAGCTGAACCCCGACTCACGGTGACCCTGTGTGTGTCATTAACCGATGTGAACCGTTTGCACCACCCAGCAATTTAAAACAAAAACCATGCACCAGCTCAAGTCGGCTCTGCCTCTCGGCAACCCCAAGTGTGTTGAGGTAAAGCTGAGCCCACAGGGTTTGGGTGCAGGTTTTTGGAGGGAGACAGCCAGACCTTTCTTCCACGTGTCATCTGAGCACTGGGGGACTTACCTGATAAACATCGCCATGGGTATCATGACACTGAGCAGGATGAGGAAGCCCCAAAAGGTGAAGATGGACTCCATGGTGTCGGTGTGCTTGAGGCTGGTCGGGATGTAGTAGTGTTTGTCCTTGAATTCCTTGGTCTTGTAATGGAAGCCCAGGGTCAACACCAGGGAGACCAGCACCAGGAACAGGAAAATCTACAGGAAGGAGGGGATGGAGAGGGTGGGACTGCAGGACCGCATGGACACCCGGGGACTGGAGAAGACCGGAACACCCCTGCCCACCCTCACCTCTGGCCAGAGGAGGGGACCAGGAGACCCAGAAGGAAGGGAACCTTTATGTGTGTGGGTTTTTGTTTTGTTTTTTTAATTTCAATCATTTAAAAATAAAACAGTTGATTGGACGACCACCACCTGGTCATGCACTACCCCCGTGATCAGTGGCTGAAGGGGTTGTTGGGGTCTCTGGGGTTTTCACTGGCTGATTTTGGAAGCAGACAGGCAGGTCTTTCTTCCTCGACCCTCTTAGTGTCATGGCAGCACGCAGGCCTCCACAGACAGATGTAGAGGTGGCGCACAAGATGCGCTGGCCGGGATTCAAACCGGGGGCTCCCAGGTGGGAGGCAAGTATTCTACCACTGAGAGCTACCCCTTCCTAATAGGCAAACATGAAGGACAGTTAACAGTTCCATGGAGGGTGTGTGAGTGGTTTGTTATTATCATGTTGGGAAATGTCTGAATCAAAATTTATTTCATGGAAAAAAAAAATGTTTGTAGTAAAGAATATCAGGAACCCGTCCATGGGATGAGGCCTGAGGCTTTGCAAAGGAGGGAAACAGAGGGGACCATGGACAGGGCTCCTGCCTGGGGTGGGGGGAAGGGTGCCTTGCCCCAGTCTCTCCCCTCCTGGCCCTCCCCCCGCCCGGTCATCCCATGCCGCTCACTATGACCACCAGTCTGTTCATCAGATGATCCAGCTTGGTCCTCTTCAGGTGAATCTTACCACAGCTCTTCATGATCTTTGTGTCAAAACCTGTACGGCCGGGCAGGCACGGGGTATCAGTTGTGGCCAAACCCAGGGATGCCTGGCCATGGTTTGGCCATGAGCTGCCTTCCCCTGGAGGCCCAGGTGCTCCAGGAACCTGGCCTGTCTCCCCATCTCCTTATTTTCTCTCGTTGCTCAACCTTGTAGTCTATGTGGCTGGACATTACCAGTGAAAATGCTTCCACCACCTTCAGTATGGGGGTACAGATGGGAGGGCCCTTCCGCCATTCAGTCAGAGGCAGACCACTAATATTTCATACTTATAGACAGCCAGCCATCCATCCTGTGCATTTTCCCACCTAACCCTTCCATCCTTCCATCCATCCATGCATCCTTCCATTCATTCACCTTCCCTCCATCAATCCATGCATCCTTCCATCCCTACATCTTCCCTCCATCCATCCATCCATCCTTCCATCCCTTTATCTTCCCTCCATCCATCCTTCCATCCATTCA